CACTTTACAGTTCAACCAGATTTTTATGTCTCAATCAGGGTCATTGGATGATTGGTTATTACCTGGCCACCCTTATAAAAATTTTATGGCTACGCCTCTGAGCCTGATTCCATCTAAGCTCCAGTTATTAACACTGCATCATTTTACCAGAGAAATGCTGTATCTGATCTGCTCTTTATTATAGGGATAAATCAGTTATCGTTTTCCATGATCTAAGCCTTAAATGGTAAGTTTGGATTTTTTAATGAGGAGCTTTGACATAATTGATGACCTGCTTCTTTTGCCTGGAGCAGAAGATGATGTTATGTGAATCCTGGACGTGATGAAGAGTAGATAGATATGATTATATGTTGCTGGAGTCTCTGAAAACCTCAAGACATTTTTTTCCAAACACAAATTCACAGTACATTTCAAACCAAACAGAGGCTAGTGAATTCTAACGACCAAATCCCCAGACCACATATGAGTAGAGTGGTGTGTGCAGTTCAGTGCAGTGAGGAATGCTCTTATCTTTACATTGGGGAAACCAAACAACCTCTCCACAGACGCATGGCCCAACATAGAATAGCGACCTCCTCGGGACAAGAATCAGTGGTACATCTACACCTTATGGATAAAGGACATTCTTTTGAGGACCAGAATGTTCACATTTTGGACAAAGAAAATAGGTGGCTTGAGAGGAAGCCATAAATGTTAAGAAAGGAAAACCAACCTTAAACAGAGGAGGATGACTCAGAATTTAAAGATGATTCCTTCCCGCTATATTAAATCCCCCACCCCCTTACAAGGGTAACAGAACCCCTCGCCCATTCAGCCAGGCCAACATTTCCCTCTAAAGACCACCCTTTCAGAGACATAGACAGGTATCAAGGATTACAGGCCAGCAAAAGAAGCCAAACGACCAGTGTTGTGCCTGAACGCATTCATTGAACGAAAGTTCATGAACTCGTTCATATTTTGGGCGAACGTGAACTGAACGTACTGTATTACTGCCTGATGAACGTTATTGTGAACTCGTTCATTCTGGTGTCTGTGAACGGCACGCTCTCTCAGTTTAACTTCGTTAAATAGGTTGCCAGATTTCTATAAAGCCCTCCAGGCGAAATCCCGGCTAAATCACACCATGAACAAGCCTTAATATGTAGCGGGAAAAACACCCAATCTGGCAACACCAGCTACCAGTGTCGTAGCCTACAGCCGCGTGCGTCATCAAAACAAAATGCAGCGTGGAAGCCACAGCAGCATGGAGACGACTGTGGAGGCAACAAAGCAGCAGTATGATCACTTAAAACAGGTTTATGACCAGGTGGTCGGTGAGAATGATGGCAACTATCTTACATTGCTCAGCAAACTTTGCCGCCGGCTTTCAGCAGAGATGGCAAAAGTACTCACTTTCCGTACTTGAGTAAAAGTACAGATACTTGTGTTAAAAAATACTCTGGCAAAAGTGGAAGTACTGATTAAACTTCTTTACTCAAGTAAAAGTAACAAATTACAGGCTTGTAAATTTACTTAAAGTATAAAAGTAAAAGTAGAAACCACTGTTTTCATGCCGTTGCCTACATTTTAAATGGATGTCTGCCAATAGGACTAGATCTCCGTTGTGTTCATTTTCAATCATCTCGTCGTCCATACTACTATGCTAACGCCACCGCCACCAAGCTGCAATGATTCGCCGCGAATCTGAATACCACCAAATCTGTCGATTCATCTTGTAGTGGTGCGTCAAATGCAACGTAGATTCCCATCCAATTAGATTGAATTTGGTATTGATGACTTGAAAAATAATAACGGTAACTCCACTGAAATGATTCAAAACTAAAGTAACGAGCCAATTTTTTTAAATGTAAGGAGTAGAAAGTACAGATATTTGTGTAAAAATGTAAGGAGTAGAAGTAAAAAGTCACCATAAAAATAAGTAGTAAAGTAAAGTAAAAATATCAGAAAAATCTACTTGAGTACAGTAACGAAGTATTTGTACTTCGTTACTTCCCATCTCTGGCTTTCAGTACAAAAATCCGCACTTCAGTAACCTTAAATTCCTACCTCAGCCTGGTCCCTCAGTTTGTGTTAGTAAAATGTTCTTGAAGGTTTAACTATTCATGTAACTTGTTTGTTAAACCTGCCTGGTATAATTTTCCAGGATTCCAGGATTCCTTTTTAGTATATTCTGAAATGGAATTTCAAATGGAAAAAATTATTAAAATTTAAAAACCATTTGCACCTTAAAGACTACTTTCCTGTTTTTATTTTAATAATTCCTCATAAAAAGGACCATTCAAGCAGCAAATTTTTCCTGATGTTTTTGAGAATATAGTAGGGGTGAAAGCTGCAGCTGCTACTAGTGTGAAGGGAAATGCTGTCCCCTCAATGCTAATGTAAACCCTGGTTGGATAAGGATTCAAACTGGATATGAAGATGAAATCTGATGCACAGTTTCAGTGTTACAACTGATAAAATAATTGCTGTCTGTGGTTCTACAGTAGGCTATGGTGTAATTGAGCAATATATGAAAAAAAAAGAACTATGAACTAGTTCATTTTTTGGAACTGTGAACTTAGTTCAACATTTTGAATTATGAACTATGAACTGCACTAGTTCATTTTAAAATGTGTGAACTGAAATTTGAACTAGTTCACATAGAAAGAGAACTTTCCCAACACTGCCAACGACCCCCAATCCTAAGGGGTGGACCCGTTCGTCTGTTTCAATTTGCATGTTTTCTGAAAAAAAGCAAGATTTTGTTGGGCTACTGTATAAAGCCTGGAACTCCACACTAATTTTTGACATTTTGAATTGAAAAAGCTTCCTGGATGGGAAGAGAAATGTCTTCAAACTTGGAAAGAAAATATAGTTTATCACTGTGGGGCACAGACACATATCATTTTAACCTTATGCAGGGGGAATCTTAAATTGACGTACGAGTTGCAGCAGATCTGAGAGGATTATAACCACAACCATCTGAGCATCTCAGCGCTCTTCATCTTATGCTCTAAGAGAGCTCCATGGACAGTGGTGCTCAATCTCCATTTCCTGAGTGCATATTGGTTCATTTATTCTCATCTTTATCGTTTGGTCTTTAAAATATCTAGTAAATCTGAATGAAGTCTGGTGTCTTAATGTTCATCCTAACTCCATAACTCCTGTAGATCGCCCTTAGCCTTCCTGTGTTCCTCTACAGCCAACACACATTCACATACCGGTCCTGTCACATCTGTGCTTTATCCAGTAAGAAATAATTAACTCTCACAGACTCCTTCTTCCCTTACTGTCCCTCTTCTAACTTCTATTTCTCTCTTAACCCTCCCCCTCGCCTTTAACTGTCTTAATAAGAAAGCTCTTAGACTTCTCCAGAGGCAGTTATTCTGGGGAGAGGAGGGAGGTGTGTAATGGATTTAAGACCCAATTTTTTATTCAAAGATTAAGACATTTCCTCAAAAGACACGGGAGGAAAAGCGGCTGTGAAGCAGCAGTGGATTTAAAGTGTGGCACTTTTCAGAACAACCTTTAATGCTTTGGGACATAAATCAGCTTTGTTAAAATTTGACTTTTACTGCTTGAGAAAATCTCCTCTCTTGTTCCAAGCATCTTATTTGTCTCATATAACTCAGGTTTTAGATTAATGCTCTGACTTCTATTACTTAAAACAAAGGACGCTGTAGGTACCAGATCTGATTGGGGCCACGCCCCATCTTAGGATGCCAATATATGGCAACTCCACTCGGACAAACTGTATTGCAACCGTTTCCTAAGAATAAAATCTCTTTTGGAGTCTTGACATATTATTACCAATATTTGCTAATATTTTACATTTTATTGACGATCTAAAGTAGCCAAAAGTAGAAAACAATAATTATAAGTCTTGAAGGAAAGTACTGCGTTCTAAGATTGCGCTCTGCCATTTAACAAGTTGACACAAAAAGTCTCAGCTTATTTTTATTCTTTTTATTAAGATCTGAAGGCAGAGGAGGACAAATGGGATGATTTGATAAATGACTTACGTCGAGATTTTAGACAAATAAACAGTTGTTCTAGTTGTAGAAAACAAACGGTTGTTGTTGACACAAACCTTACTTGTGTGCGGAGGGCCCTAGTAGAACTGGTACCTACACTGACTGTGGGTAATTTTTTTTTAAACTATCTAGCCAAAAAAAAACAAGACCATGGACATACATTTAAGGAGCGAAGCCTTGAAAATTTTATTTTACATTTATTTTCTCTTTTAATATTGACCATATCAGTGATTATGGGTCAGAATTCCCCTTAAAGTGGTCATAAAATGATTCTATAGGGTATTGGGTGCTGGTCCTTAAGGTCTCTGAATAGGGTGTGTAACATTGGTTGGGCTGAAAATGGCATATTTGCTGTTCTACGAGCCCTAATGCAAGTCTGGTTATAAGCCCTAGAATGAAATGGTATGATCATGAATATTTAGATGAGCTGTACGCTGATTGGTTGGTTTACAACGAGCAAAGCTCCTGAGCAAAGATGCATCATAGATTTTGAAAGCTGTCTTCGGTAAAATTCTTAGAACAAATAAACAGCTGAGCATCAACCTTTGCAGAGATTTTCAGATAGACAAAAATAATCCCTGCCTGTCGAGTTTTTAAATCCTTGGGAGGACTGTGAAATTTTTCCCCTTTCTCCATGCAGCCTGGAACACTGCATTTACAATAGTGAACCAGTGGGCTGGTCCGTGTGTCAATTTCGGGCTTGACAAAAGTACAAGCCAGAACCAAATAAGGCAACATTTCCGAATTGACGTCAATTCGGTGCTTTGTTTGGATTCGCCCGTTTTATGGTAGAAGATTTGCAGAGAAAGGAGGTGTCCATGGGGTTTGAACTTTTCTGTACGTCCATTTCACCCACTGAACAATCGTTATTCATCTATGAAAATGTAAATTCGGTTTTGCATTCTATGACCTATTTAAAGAGGTCTTAACTCTTAGGTCGTACCGACTTTAACAAGAATGTATCTATTTCTTCTTTCTACCCTTTAGATGTTAATGACAATGTGCCATTCTTCACCTCGTCAATCTATGAGGCCTCGGTGACTGAAGGAGCAGAGTCAGGAACATTGGTTTTCCAGGTATCAGCCAATGATATGGACCTGGGCCTAAATGGGAAGGTAAACCTCGTCACAGTCTGCCATTAAACAACACTTCACTGTTGAACCTCCGAATCAACTGAAGGTGTAGAAATGGGTACCTTATAAGCTTAAGCCTGTCTTTCTCCACCTTTCTCCTTTTAGATTTCTTACTCGCTGCTGGAGGACCGCAGCGGGGATCATCAGTTCTTCAGGATCGACTCAGAGCTTGGCTTCATCTACTCGCAGGCTGTGTTTGATAGAGAAACTAAAAGCTCATATCTTTTGGAGGTTCAGTCTGTGGATGGCTGGGAGTCAGCGCGGCCTGGAAAACATGGACAACCCAACTCTGGTAACTTCAACATACATTTCAAAGCTCAGAACGACCATCAGGCTGCTATACTGGATGTTTCCAAAGGGTTGGCTGTCAGTGTTGGTGACCCGAGATACACATTGTTAATTGGTGCTGAATGGTCCGACAGAATTACAGAGTTAGGATGGATGGATGGATGGATGGATGGATGGATGGATGGATGGATGGATGGATGGATGGATGGATGGATGGATGGATGGATGGATGGATGGATGGATGGACGGACGGATGGACGGACGGATGGACGGACGGACGGATGGATGGACTGTCTACTCTGCAGGGTTCCTTCTGTTTGAGTTCCACTTCATAACAGAAGCTTGAGATCATAAGATCAAATTTCACTACATTTCATCACATTTTTCCATGTCTGCTTCATCTCAACCCTTTTTACTCAGCAAAAAAGGCTGTCTGCCTCCCTCGGTGTCACAGCTCAGATCCTTCTCTTTCCCGTCCCTCTTTCTTGTTTACTCACCAGTGCAATCCCTGCATAGAAAAGAACTTAAGAAAAAAGATGGAGAAACAAACAGCTGCTCAGTCAGATGGGTGCATACCTAAAGGGGACATAGAAAAAAAGAGAGAAACAGACCATATTATTTTATTGTTTCTCTAGACAAAGGGGAGACTGCGGATTGACATAGAGCAGTTAGTACACAAAAAATGTAAGGGCTGAATTTGAATGATGAATGGTCTGTGGGGGTGAAGAGATAGCTGAGCCAAAAGGCAAAGCTCTCGATTTACTGGTCGATCTACATTCCTAGTCTCATCTATGGTCATGAGCTTTGGGTCATGACGGAAAGAAAGAGATCCCGGATACAGGCAGCTGAAATGAATTTTCTCCGTAGTGTGTCTGGGCTCTCCCTTAGAGATAGGGTGAGGAGCTCCGTCATCCAAGGAGGACTCAGAGTAGAGCCGCTGCTCCTCCACATCGAGAGGAGCCAGTTGAGATGGCCTGGTTAGGATGCCTCCTGGAAATCTCCCTGGTGAGGTGTTCCAGGCACGTCCCACCAGGACCAGGGGGAGACCCAGGACACGCTGGAGGGACTATGTTTCCTGGCTGGCCTGGGAGCAGCTTGGGATTCCCCCGGAGGCTCTGGTCCAAGTGGCTGGGGAGAGGGATGTCTGGAACTCCCTACTGAAGCTGCTACCCCCACGACTTGACGCTGGATAAGCGGAAGAAGATGATGGATGGATGGATGGATGGATGGATGGATGGATGGATGGATGGATGGATGGATGGATGGATGGATGGATGGATGGATGGATGGATGGATGGATGGATGGATGGATGGATGGATGGATGGATGGATGGATGCATGCATGCATGCATGCATGCATGCATGCCTATGAGAGCTGGGACCAAAAACTGGTGCAGGAAAAATGTATCATTCATTACCAAAGACCTGATTTACAGCATCTAACCAATATAAAAAATCCCTTAAAACATTTGGGCTCCACATTATAAACATTGAGGGTTCTTGATCAGATGGTTTATCTTTGTCAGGGATCTGATCTAGAGAGGGAGGTGGTGGTATTAGCGTAGTTAGCCTTCCAGTTAGATTTCGCATCAATGACTCATAATACTAACTTAAATAGTATCTATGCAATATTTTTATACATTTTGTTCATATTTATTAAAGGACAAGTCTAGTCAGCAAGGAATAATCAGTGGATCATTATCTAAACCTAAAACTAATATGTTTGTGGAGATTTAATGAGTTTAGCGTTAATCAGTAAAAAAAAACAACAAAAAAAAAATACTAGACACATCTGCAATCAACAACAATTATTGAAGATTTCCAGAGGACTTCACCATTGAAATTCACCAGAGTTATAGTGAAACTGACAATGCCCATGTGCATGGCAGCTGGATGTTGGAATACATCGGGTAAAAGTGGGAAAAAATTTGTTATTTCACCTTTCTGATTCCTGATCCTCCACGGATGGGTTCGTCGTTGGATTGCCACCTTGAAGAGGGAGGATTTGCCAGAGAAAAAAAAAACACGTAATATGTAGCCAACATTTGGAAGAAGAATGTTTTCAAGATGACTTGGATAATAGCGCGTTGTGACAAACACCAGATGCAGCACTGGGACTTGATCAACAGCCGATACTGCACCATGATGGTAGCTGGCAGTAGTGTTCTGTGACAAACATGGATGCCTCCAGTAAAGCACATTCAAATAAAAATTACTCTTAGTTAAAACACTTATCATTTATTGAACAGTTTGTAATAATTTAATGTTTAAAGTACTTTCAGAATTTTGAATTCTGAATATGACCGGACTTTTACCTTTAATTATTGGTCTTTGCACAATCTGAATGTTTGTGTGCACAAGTGTGGGACCTAAAAAAACAAAAAAGAAAACAAATTAAAAAGATTATTAAACAGTTTTTTGAACACAGGAGGCCTCTTCAGACTCCAGGTATAGACATGCTGAAAGGATGTACAAAGAGCTCCTTTATGCTCACAGCATGGATCTCATACCTCTCTCATCAGAGTAAGCAGTTGCCAAAGGTCAAGTCTCTCTAGAACTTTAATGATGCTGCAGAGCTCTAGTCAGTCAGTGCATGAGTTATTGTAGCTTGTGCTCAGAAATACACATATTTAAAACATTGATTATGAACTAATCAGACAAACTGGACTAGTTTGCATTAATAGAAGGCATGACTGAAGGTAACAAGGCAAGACAAATTCAATTAAATTCAATTCAGTTTATTTATATAGCGCAAATTCACAACACATGTAATCTCAAGTCACTTTACAGTTCATCAGATCAGTCAGATTCAAAGTTTTCTATCTAAGGAAATCCAGTTGATTGCATCAAGGAGTCAGAAGCAGAGATACAAAAAGCAGCTGTAAAAGGCGGCCCCGTCCAGGAAACACACAGCCAGGCAGACGAGCTCCGAGCCAGCTCCCATGTCAGAGGATGAAGAGAGCACATCCAGTTAGTCACAGTCAGAGAAACAGGGCTACACTGGAAAACAGGCCGATCTCCAACAGCTATAAACAAAGGTGTTGATGGCAGCAGCACATCTGATATTTCTCTCCAGGATGGAGTCAAAGCCAAAGAGGAACAGACCAGATGAAGCTACTCTGAGAAAAAGCAGAGAGAGCAGAACGTTAGAGATTGAACTAACAGATTCTGCAGAGTGGGAGAATAGAGATATCACCTTCAGTGTTAGCATGGATGTTAAAATCTCCCACTATGATGACCCTGTCAGTATGCAATACTAAATCAGAAAGGAATTCATCTAAAAAAATTCAGAGTAAGGACCGGGTGGATCATACAAAGCTACAAAAAGAAGATTTTCTTGCTTTGCAATTTGGATAAGGGAATTTAAATGTTAAATGTTCAAAAGAGTTGTAAGTATTGAATGCCTTTGGAGTAATCAGTAAATCAGACTGGAAGATTGTTGCTACTCCTCCTCCTAACCAAGAACTTCAGGGTATGTGAAAATTTAAATAGCTAGAAGGAGTTCCCTTGTTTATGCTTACATAAACCTGTTGCTGCAGCCAGGTTTCTGTAAGGCACTAACTTAAAGACTTTTAGAGGTAAGAGATCTTATGTTAAACAGACCACATTTAATTGTTTTAACTTTGTTAGAGTTAGAGTTATTTTGATTTTAATTAGATTATTGTGATTTACTCCATTGGGAATCATTGCTAATTTATTAGACTTTGGTCGTGGGCAAGACACTGTCTGGATGGAGAAAAGAGTAGGTAACAGTAGAGAAGCTGCAGGCATGTGTGTTAAACTACAACTCTGCTTCCTGGTCTGCACCATGGGAGGTTATGGTGTTGAAGGGCTAATAAATTTGGCCAGATTCACTAAATTTAATGGTGAACACACTTCAGTTACTGGAGGAATTCGGAGGACCAATCCTGCCATAATTAAAATATATACATAAATAAATGAAGGATTTCATAATATAAAATTGATGGAAAAAGTAGCTAACAATATGAATGTGTATGCCATTAAAACGTGACAAAATAATAAAAATAAGATATTTCTTCAACAATTGATCAATTAGTCATCTAAAAATATATATTTTAACTTCCACTTTTATTTTTTACTTTTATTTTTGCATTTACGCTGAGTTATTTTTAACCCGCTTATTTTCTGTCATACATTTTCTTGAAGTGTTTGTTTTATTGTTCTGTATTTCCACTCCAACCTTCTTTAACGTTTCATATTCATTCACACCAACATTTTTAGATGTTTTTAATTTTGATTCAGTATGAAACAAAAATATTTCAGAATGAAAATTATAAAATATTGTATTTTTATTAGTTTTTCACTTTAAATTGCACACAAATTTATATTAGTAGCTACTTTTTTAATCTATTTTTTATTATAAAGTCCTTCATTTATTTCTGTATGTTTTCTTGATTATGGCACAATTGGTCCTCTATAAATCACTGGATTCTACAGCATAAATACAATAAAAACCTAAAAGGCAGGGGCACATTAAAGGTGGATTATTATTCTTCTGATCTTTATGCCACTGCACCGTTCTTTTCTTTTTCTCCAGATCTTCAGTACTTTGAATTGTCCTGCTGCTAAAATGGGGTGGGGGCGTCACATAGGGCTGCCCAAAGGGAGTGAAGGGTAATTGGGTTGGTTCAGTGGGGTTAGGACGCAGTTTTTGCCCTGATGGAGAGCTTCAAAATGTTTCACTGATGAAGAAGTCTCTTTCTGGGTCCTTTTTAATGGTTAATCCGGATCTCAGCAAGCTGCCGTTCTCCTTCATGTTGCCGTTGCTGTGTTCTCTCTGCCCCCTGCTTTGCATGTTAAAAACTGCTGGGATCTGTTTCACAGAATAAAACCTATTGGAAGTTGTCATCCTGGAGCATTGAAATAAAATCTGCTGTTTTTTGAAAAGATACTAGCAGTGAGAGTCAATGTTGATGTTTTTGAATGAGTTCTGTCATTTGTTGAGCATGGAGGTTTTCAGTTTTGTTCACGGACTGAATTAAATCCTTTTTAAAGGCTTTGGAGTTTTTTAATCCCCACATCAGGAGCTTCTGAATCTATGATGAGCTTCTAAGCTGTTTTATGCTGATCTGTGATCATCGGTATTTTCACTTAAATATCAGACAACACTTTATCAACGCAATGAAACACCTCTGTGGTTTATTTCTTGCAGTGGAATGATTTAATCTCATTTTTGGCTCCTTCAGCCACTGTGAGGCTTTGTGGTCTAGTGTGTGACTATCTCTGCAGACAAAGCTTTTAAAGGAAAAGTCCGGTCATATTCAGAATTCAAACTCCTGAAACTACTTTAAATATTACATTATTATTAGTGTTAATTTAGAGTAATTTTCATTTGAATGTGCTTTGCTGGAGGCATCCATGTTTGTCAAAGACCACTCCTGCCACCTACTGGTTTGTGACGTAACGGTGCGGTATCGGCTGTTGATCAAGTCCCAGTGCTGTATCTGGTGTTTGTCACAACGCGCTATTATCCAAGTCATCTTGAAAACATTCTTTTTCCAAATGTTGGCTACATATAACGTGTTTTTTCTCTGGCCAGAAGTTCGTTGGCAAATCCTCCCTCTTTAAGTTGGCAATCCAACGACGAACCCGTCCATGGAGGATCAGGAATGGGAAAGGAAACTAATTGTTTTTTTCACTTTTACCCCATTTATTTCAACATCCAACTGCCATGCACGTGGGCATTGTCAGTTTCACTATAGCTCTGGTGAATTTCAATAATGAAGTCCTCTGGAAATCTTCAATAATTGTTGTTGATTGCAGATGTGTCTAAGCCTGGGTGCCATTCCGAACTTAGTCCCGCCGACAACGTTTGAGGTCGGGAAGTTCGGTCTGGCATTGCTCAACAGTAGCGCGAGTATGCTAGCACAATATCTGGCGGGCCAATCAAATTGTCAGGGCGGGCTTTATACGATGATGGACAGATGATCAACAGTAACGTAATCAACCACGTGACCAAAGCGTGCTTGGGTGACAACAACAATGGCTGCCGCTGGAGAGTTGAGGTGAGTAGATTCTGCTATTAGGTCTGTTCTAGAAGATATAGACAGCAAATTAATTTTAAAAGAGGAACAGAGAAACGCGATCAAGGCTCATCTTCTTATTCTAGGCGTGCAACTGCACGCTTTGATTTTTGTTGACAACAACTATGCCTCGCTTAACATACATCACACACTCCGTTGCTCTTATTGGTTGTAGGTCTATCCAATTGAGTGCAGAGGCATTTTTTTTCCTGGTTCGTTCAAAACACGCCCCATAATCACAGCTCTATGGAGCAGTATCAGACTCATATTCTGACTAGAAGTGAGTAGGACTATGTCAGGCTAGATGTGTCTAGTAGTTCACTGGAAAGTGAAGGGAAAGATCCTGCGGTTAGTTCAGGCTCAGTGGGAAACTTGTGTCTGATTTGAGGAAGGGAATTTAAGATTGTGGACTCATGTTTCCAGAAAAAGGTGTCTGTTTTAGAATCCAGTTGGTGTGGGTTGTTTCAGTAAATGTCTTGTTCATTGGAGGGCAGACAGGGTATACCCAGATTGTGGTTTTTCCTTGGTGAATGGAGGAGCTGACTGCCAGTTAGATTTCCTGCGGTACTTGAATGGGTTATTGTGGAGATGAATTGCCAGCTCAGAGAGACGCCCAAACAATCCTTGGGGGAATAGTTGATCCAAACCACAAACTTGAATCCTCAGCTCAGTTTGGTGCTCAGAGCATCCTTCCGGGGGGAAAAGGTCCAAAACATCTAGTTTGCATGATGACTTCCTGCCGAGAGGCAAATACAAAAATAGCAAGGTTAAAACTCAGGTAGACAAATACTCAGTTTGACTCAGCAAAACTCAGCTTGGCTAGAGTACCCAAAACTGGCAAACACTCTGGCGTTGAGGTAGTGGCAGACAGCTTAAGAGTCCGCCGTTAATGAGGTAACCATCCGCAGGTGTGTGAAGAGGCCAACCAGAACAAGGCGCCACCTGGTGGTGGAGAGAATACAAACAAAAGCACAACCCACACAAACTGGATTCCTAACACCATTCAATTTTTCTTTCTATTACTGCTTCTAGGTAGGGCGGTCAGAAGCACTAATAAAGTCTCATGTTGAGCAAGTTGCATTTGGACGGCCTTTTTAGGCTCAGCAGTTTCAATGAAACATTAGAATAAAAAAACAAAGAAGCCTTCAGTGAGCAAGAACTGAAAGCATCTGATCAAACGTGCTTTTGTTTTCCTTAACGGTTTGGTTTCTAACTATATAGAGTACAATTATAATGCTGTTGATAAAATATTACCAGCAGTGTCTGAACCGATCACCGATCATTCTGTCTCTGGAACATTTGCAGTTAAATAAAAGGTTTCTATGATGGAGAAATGTCTCCTGGTATTACACTCTGTTGTCACACAGCATCACTTTCTTTTTAAGAGAGGGTTTTATTTTTAATGAATCACCATAGATTCTTTATATATCTCCACCATGGCATTTTTAACAGCATAAAAAAAAGTTAATTATTAAAAAGTGAAGGAAATCTGCTTTTTATCATAGTAGCTTCATCTGGTCTATTGCCGTTTGGCTGTGACTCCTTACTGGAGAGAAATATCTGCTCTGCTGCTGCCATCAACACCTTTGTTTATAGATTGTTTATATATGAAATTAAACAAAATAAAAATGAATGGCAGAAAAAGACAACTTGTTTAAAACAAATAGACACACAAAGTTTGGAAGTAAGCATCAGAAAGCATGTTTGATTTTTACAAATAATGAGTTGATATAACCTTTTGAAAGAAACATGTCAACCACTGGAACCTTCTGTGTTGGCTTTGCAGATCTTAACACACAAACATAGACAGGTGAGTTGTCATGTTTTCACAGGAGCAACGCTACTAAGATGGATTCAGCTGGCAAGAAGTGCTGCTACAGAGCGAGACTGTAGGCTTGGTTTGGGTGTTAGGTGTGAAAACATGCCTTGTTCACTTCCTGCATTTCTTTCCCTTCCCTGCCCACCTTCCTGAACACGTGCAAAGCTCCGGCAGCACAGCCTGCTTTGTTGGAGCTCTGAGGCTAAATTCATTTACTATTTTTTCCATGAACTGTGCACCAATTGCTACTCCCTGGTGTGAATAACTAAACCATCTTTGCGTGTTTTGAAGCAGATATCAGAGAAAGTGTAGTGTCTTGGTTTGCACAGATCCAGTTTCTCTATGAAGCTCACTTTAGATGTGAAAAGGTTGGATTTTATGGTGAGACAGTCGAAAACAATGCAGAGAATTTCCTAGAAATGCTAAAAAGTGTTGTTCAGTAATGACTTTGGGGATTTACGGGGCTGTTTTTGCATGAGGCACTGTCAGCCTTCCTGTCTGTGCTCTGGTAGTGTTGTGTTGATGCACACGACTGAAGTGACTAAAAGATGCTCCAGGAGAAAAAAAAAACAGATGTTCATGTTAATGTTGACAGAATAGGAGCAACCTCTGGTTTTAATTGCCTTTTTCCTCCTTCTCTCTCTTTTTAAATTTTCAGACACAGCATATGTTCGAGTTTTCATCAGCGACGTGAACGATAACAAGCCTGTGTTCGCACAGCCTTCTTATGAAGTCGATGTGGATGAGGACGCTGACGTGGGCTTTGCTATTCTCACAGTCAGTGCCAATGATGGGGACGAAGGTAGGTGGAAGGAAAAAAAAAGAAGGACTCTATGTGGTGGATATGTGTGCGCTGACATTCGTTGATATGCAGGCAGAATAGAAATCTAGGCGTGAATGTGGGGCCAGTGCTAGAAATGCAGAATCAAACACATTTACACAAGAGCACTGCCAGACTGCTTCATTCTTCCCTCACTTTAGGAAGAGAAAAATCCTCTTTTAACTCTGCTGCTTTTGTCTGACGCCCACTTTCTTGGAAGGAGGCTCAATAAAACAGGCTAAGGAGCTGAGAAAATCCCAATAATATGCAAGGCTGAATCAGCCATCATGACAGAAGCTGTTTGATGCAGCATTTCAATGGAAGCCTGGAGAACAAAGTCTGATAAATATTGATGAATATTCTTCTTCACTAAGGTCAGTTATAACTTAGGGTTAGCGTGTTTTTAAATGGTGGAGGACGTCCTTGGAGTCCAAACCCAGCTTTCATCTTCTTTCTTCAACTTGTTATTGCGGCAAGGCGGTAACAATCAGACAACCAGATGAGCATACCCTGTCAGATCAGCATACACATTGTCAATACCCATTTATCCTTTTAGTTTTGTACGAATTTTTTTTTTTTGTATATGACTAAAGGGATACACGCCTGTCGAGGTAGTTTAAAGTGTACTTTTTGTACAAAACTTGCACATGCGTATTGACTATGTGTATGCTGGTCTGACAGAACACCGCTTCTGCTCTGACTTTAAGGCCTAGTGGACACTTCCAACTGGTTCTATTAAAGGTATTGTCAAGTACTTTTTGAAAGAAACTTAAAAAAAAATATGCGGAGAGTATGCACGAGTCCATTTCTCCTCGTGCACGCCCTGTTTAAAATGTGCTGTTCTCATAGCTCATACAAGCTCACTGTGTCCACATACAGCGGGGACTATATGTTGGACTTTATAGCAAACTTAGTTAACTGACTGTTCGCACAGATAATAACTGCTTTTATCTCCGTTGGTCACTTAACTCCTACTCCCCTGCGTGGTGCCTGCGCCATCTTTGTTATCAGTCGGCGCTGTTGGGTAGCGGTAGCCTATGGCAACATTGGGCCACTGTATCGCCAAATCCTAGAATGCTTTGCATAGAGAGATCTCCTCGCAATCTGCCTCTTCTGAGGCCTTTCTCTTCTTCTCATACACTTTGTAGACACTTTTTCTCTTACAACTCTCGGCCATTTTCAAAGAACCGCGGTGAGAAGGTTGAGCTTCAATGACTGTCTAAAACCGTAGCTCACCACAGATATGTGGCTGAAAGTGAGCATGCACAAAAAAGAGAGCTAATGGGGCGAGTATGTAGGACGGCCTCACGTAAACATGTCACCCGAATGGTTGACAATCAGGACCACTTATTTTGATGATCCATCAGGAAATAAAAGATCGTACTCTATGCCTTTAAGTGTGCAGAATGCAGATGATAAATAAGCCCATAGTTATTGAGCCACTTTAGTGAGCCGCTTCCCTCTGAGAATATTTCTCAATCAGTTACTACAGCTTGTTTTTATACTATTATTTTAAACACCCCCTTTAATCTGGAAACAAGACAATGTTTAACAATAATGTATATGAAATGTTATCCATTTTAATTCCACGCAGATTACTGTGGGGCTCAACAATTTTCCATTACGCTTATCCTAGCTTGTTTTGCGAGGGGTGCTGGGTCTCCAGCTGTCTATGGCGAGAGGCGGGGTCCACTCTGGACAGGTTGCCAGTCCATCGAAGGGCATCACAGAGACACACAGGGCAAACAACCATTCACACACCTAAGGAGAATTAAGAGAAGCCAATTAACCTACAGTAGCAGCCATTCCAAACACGACCCTTCCCAGTCAAACGCCAGCCGAATGGCAACCCACTTCCCTGCAACTCCCAGCAAAATTCCCTCCTACTTCTAGCCACTGTCCTACTCCTTGGCGTGCACATTTTTTTACTCTGACTTCACCCTTTGACTGAAATACAGGGTCCAAGACCAGGAGATGACGCTTCTTTTTAGATCTTAATGTCCACAAATCATGACAGAAAGAATATTTTAATACAAATGTTGATGTTTAAAAAGGAATTGTAGGGGACCAGCTACTGTAACAGTCATGCTTTTGGACTATAGGAGGAAGCTGGAGTACCTGGAAAGAACATGCAAATCAATGCATAAAGGTTCGGAATCAAACCCAGAACCTTCTTGATGCAAGGCAGCATTCCTACCCACAAAGTTTGGGAACCTTGGCTTTTAAGGAGAGTTTAAAAAGTAATGTTGTAACCTGAGATCTATAAACCAACACTTTGTAATCTTTTACCTCTCTGCTGGCCAGCCAGCCTGTTTCACAAGTAGCCCAATTCAGTTTTGGTAAACTGCTGCTGACTCCAATCACAGCGCGTGAGGCAGAACTCTGTGATTTATTTGGTTTATTTGTTACGTCGCTGGCTGTGCATAACGGGATGAAATTCCAAACTGATGGTAATGTGGCCAGGGCATTGCACTGATTAGCCAGTGGCCACCCCTCGCCACCCTCTGGTGGCGCCACTGCCAAGCAGCAAAAAGCTCTAAAAAACTACTTGGTATGTGTTTACTGATAGAATAAGGTTTATTTAATCGTAAACCGTGTTTAAAATTAAATCTGTTTCAAATGGGGTCACGCCTGAATGACTACAGATGAAGAAAATCAGTCTCTTAAAAAACAAGACACGCAGCATCAGTAGGAGGAAATGACGCAGGCGCTATCTTCAGCACTAAAGGTTAGCCTCTCATGGCATCCTACCTGTCTTTAAAAAAAATCATTTAAATCCTGTCATGTTGTTTTTTTCCTGATTCCCAAACAAAATGCTGCAACATGCATTTTTTAAAGAAGTGGAGATTTCTGCAGCGTTGGTGTTGTTAGACAGCCTTACTAGAAGTGCTTATTAAGTGAAAACAGCCGTGCATCTCAAGGACAGCTTCCTTTTCTCTTTGCATACTGAGCAAATCTTCCTTTTAATCTAAGAGGAGAAGAAATTGTAATGTCATGTAGTGGATTCCATGCATAATATATGTCTTTAGATGCTGACTATAAATAACCAGAGCCTGTAGGTAGTGTGGCAAAGCTGAGGTGTTGGTGAACTAACAATCAGGATGAGGGACTATGCAGAGCAGACATTTTTGTCTTAATTTTACTTTTCGACTGGGGAAACACTTTTAATTAAGAAATACATCTAATGTTTGCTCTGAGATCAGAAAACATTCAGCTAAGGAAACACAGTGGACTGGCCTGTACTTTACAGAAGGGAGTCAATAAACCATGGAAAAAAGTGCTGATACCTAGAGTGATATATTTCAAGTCATAGAGTCAAATAAATATCATATTTATGTCAAGGAACTCTGTTTGTTTTGTTCTTGTCATTAATGATTGTTTTTGCTGATATGACGCCTGATAAAATGGTCACAGTACCTCACAGACAGGGGCAGATTTAGGAAATTTGGGGCCCTAGGCAAACACAGGCAGGGGGCCCTCTGAATTGAGAACATAAAATGATGACATATTGTACAGATATACATTATTAATTAATAAATTAATTAAAACGTTATTTATTCTATGTTTTGTCCCCCTCTTCTTTTCCCTTTTCTTGTTGTTGTCCTCCCTATGTTTTGTTCTCATCTGACTTTTCATGCTGTCTCAAAAGAAATGAAAGATTTTTTTCCAGGCATTAAGCTCACTTAGCTGATTGCTCCTTCCTGTGTTTCCAAAAAGATGACGGCTAAAGTAACTAACCCTTTTTTTCACTGCAGACAAGCCATGATCTGCATATCTGTTCTCCATTTTCATTTGGATGAAATAATAGCTGCATGAATCATGACAGCAGACAAGATAGAGGAGAGCAGGAGGCGGGGTTACCCAGTGTTGTGCCTGAACGCGTTCATTGAACGAAAGTTCATGAACTAGTTCATATTTTGGGCGAACGTGAACTGAACGTACTGCCTGATGAACGTTATTGTGAACTCGTTCATTCTGGTGTCTGTGAACGGCACGCTCTCTCAGTTCAACTTCGTTCAATAGGTTGCCAAATTTCTATAGAGCCCTCCAGGCGAAACCCCGGCTAAATCACACCGTAAACAGGCCTTAATATGTAGCGGGAAAAACACCCAATCTGGCAACACCAGCTACGAGTGTCGTAGCCTACAGCCACGTGCGTCATCAAAACAAAATGCAGCGTGGAAGCCACAGCAGCATGGAGACGCCAGCTTTCAGTAAAAAAATCCGCACTTAAACCTGCCTGGTATAATTTTCCAGGATTCCAGTATTCCTTTTTAGTATGTACTGAAATGAAATTTCAAATGGAAAAAATAATTAAAATAATAAAAAAAAAACATTTGCACCTTAAAGACTACTTTCCTGTTTTTCTTTTCATAATTCCTCATAAAAAAGACCATTCAAGCAGCACATTTTTTCTGATGTTTTTGAGAATATACTGTAGGGGTGAAAGCTGCAGCTGCTACTAGTGTAAAGTGAATGGACAGCAACAAAGCGTTAAAGCAACAATGGGGAAATGCTGTCCCCTCAATGCTAATGTAAACCCTGGTTGGATAAGGATTCAAAACTGGATATGAAGATAAAATCTGACGCACAGTTTCAGTGTTACAACTGATAAAATAATTGCCGTCTGTGGTTCTACAGTAGGCTATGGTGTAATTGAGCAATATATGAAAAAAAAATTTTTTGGAACTGTGAACTTAGTTCAAAATTTTGAATTATCAACTATGAACTGAACTAGTTCATTTTAAAATGTGTGAACTGAACTTTGAACTAGTTCACGTAGAAAGAGAACTTTCCCAACACTGGGATTACCAATCTACTGGCTCTGGAGAGCAGAGTTCGCTGCTTTTAGATGTTGTTGCCAAAGTCTCCTTGATTTGGCACTAGGCGAATTTTTAAAATAAAAGTACTAGAAGGGGTCTGAAAGTCGGTAAATATAGTGAAAAAAGCACTAAGTTGGCAACACTGCTCTTCGCATTGTTTGCTTTCAAATGGTTTGCTGCTGTCTGTTTGGACCTTTCTGAACATGTGCAGCAAATGGACTTGTCCAATATGGGGGGGGGGGGGCTGAGACACAGTGTAGGCTACATTATAAGCAAATTAGTGAATGGATTACAAATAAGGAATAGTTGTTTTAACTATATATGGAAACAAAGTTTTAACGGGCCCCCGGGAACTTGGGGCCCTAGACAGCGGCCTAGTATTGTCCAATGGTAAATCCCCTGCCTTTGATTAAAAAAAACAAAATCTCTTCTTGCTGTTTACAGTTGGACTGTACTACAGACACTTGATTACACTGATGAGATGAGAGATTTTTTTAATTGTTGTTAAAACAGCAAACTTATAAGTGTTCTAGTACAGGGTGGAGTTTATGCTTTGCTGAGGAGCAGCTTGTTGTTCAGGTCCAGAGGTGGCAGAGCAGTCAGAGACCATCACACCGCCACAGAGCCTGACAATAGGTCAGCTCTGGCTTTACTCCAGACACAACAGAACATGCCGCTCTTTGAAAAGGTCCACCTATGTCTAGTAAACCCACAGAGGAGCTTCCAAAAACAGTTGGTTGTCACCTCAATCAAATAATGGCTTATCTTTCAAAGACTCTATGCAGAATCAGAAACCAGAATCCAGGCCTCCAGTCTGTTTTTCTTGGCTCTCTGCGTTCGGCGATACACCTCACCCCGAGAGGAGGAAGAACTTTGTTTTCCCAAGTCTGAAGACGTTTCTCAATTTAAAATCCTTATTATCGCTTGGAAAACATGAGAAGCGGCCTAGTGGTTAGGGCATAGAGATTGTTATCCTGTGGTTCTGAATTCAAGCCCCACTCCTACAGACTGCCACCCTGGGTCTCTGAGCAAAAGACCCTTAACCCCACACTGTTCCCCAGGCACTGCACAATTGCAGCCCATTCCTCCCCAAGGAGATGGATTAAATGAAGAAAGTGAATTTCGTTGCTCTGTACTTGTGACAGCGTAATAACAATAAAAAGCTGGGGGAAAAAAAGAAAAAACTGTCCCAGTTGTCCCCCTTGTCGGCAGGCGTGCTGGAAACATGCATATCCCTATGCTGACTGCGCTCCATGGCTTCCTCTCACTCCTGTTCTTATCCAGAGTTCTTCTTTGTTTTGCTACCTGCAGCCTTTACACCATGAGTCTGACTAAAACTATAAATCGAGCAGAGGCTCTTCCTCTGCTCCCTACGAACAGTGAGGCTTCTTTGCCACGGCAACCCCCCACATCGCCAGAGGAAAACCGCCAGTGTTTAACTTAACAAGACATGTATTTATTTGTTTATTGTACAAAATCCTGCTATAATTATTATTTAAAAATAGTAAAATTTTATAATACTTGTGTTTATTTCATGGTACGTTTGAAGTTCTGTATCATCAAATATTTCTGCCCTCCATATACAACAGGGATCACTTATTGTGACCCCGGGGGGGTCCTTTTGGAAGCCCTGAGCTAGTGCTTTGTATTCATATTAAATAAATTTTGCATTGCTCACATTAAATGCAGGCTTATCTTTCAAAGACTCAGTGCAGAATCAGAAACCAGAATCCAGGCCTCCAGTCAGTCTTTCTTGGCTCTCTGCATTCGGCGATACACCTCACCCTGGGAGGAGGAAGAACTTTAAAATTGGTTCATCTGGGAAAAAAACATTAATTTTCTCTCAAGTTGTTTGTTTATATTAACTGTTTTATTATTCCCTGTTCAATTCTACTTTCTCTTCTGTTTGGATTTCAGTGATTTCTAAGTGCTTAAGGGAATTCTACAAGTACAAAAAAAAGACAATGAGGATGAATCAACGGAACGCAATCCTATGTATTCCCTTATGTCTCATTTAGAATGGAAACAGACAGACAGTACAAAACGGTGGATTAGAGCATTCGACTCCCTCCTTCCTCCACTTTCATCTCCTTAATAAGCTCTGAATCTCCTCTCGTCTTTAGAGACCCAGTTTTTCCCTCTCATATTAACATGGAGGACAATGGATCGGGATGCAGACCACCGTAAAACCATTAAGGGGAATGTTTCATTGATCAGCCACTAAAAGATTGTCGAAAACGTTATTTTCAATTCAGGTTGTTTCTTCAGTGCCAATTCAAAACATGTCATCTTAGGTCACTTTAGAGAGACAGTATACAGTCAGCAGCATAACTACAAAGATAGCTCAGAATAACCCTAACAGGCTAACCCTAACCCGGTCGGGGCTCCCGCCGGGGGGCAGGGCACACCTGGGGCCTCGGGTCCAATTCGGGGTGGCTGGCTGCCGGCGGAGTCCGCAGACTCGTCCCTGCGCATCCTGGGGGCTTTCGGCATTGCGGCAGATGGGGGATTTCTTAAGGGCAGTCTCTCCTCCTCCCTTGGCGGGGGGTCGGATTTCATGGGTTGGCCCCTCTTGGGCACTTTCGCTCTTAGGATCCCTTTGGACGTCTGGGGCTTTGGGTCCCCCGGTGCTCGCCTTGGTGCTTTGGAGGGGCGCATCTTTGGATCTTCACAACCACTATTGAGCATTTTTCCTTTGGATAAACTTTACATGCAGAAGTTACATGCACAAGGTACTTAGAGATTCACTTCCACACAGAAAGCCCATATTCTGATCAGCTACCACAGTATACATGTCAGATTAAATAGTACTTCTTATACTTTAGCGATAGTATCAAGGTGTTACTTTATTGTATCTCTTATACTATATCCATTGATGTGCTGTTCTTCTTACAGCTCTTTCGAGGTGATGAAGCAGACTGAAGATGTTTTATCGTTACCTCCCTTTTATCTTCTTTTCTTTCTTCTTTTCTCCTTTTTTCTGTTTTTCCTTTCCTTTCATATAAAAGCTAATTACATGCATAAATCAAGCGGAACAGTATGGTGATAGCCATACTGCTCCACTTGTAAAGGCAAAAATCTGTTTGACTCTCTTTTTGGCATCAAGACAATTATTCTTATTGCCACATCACCAAACAGGTTGTTAAAAAAAAGATAGCTCAGGATAACGTTACCTACTCTAACTCTAAACTTTATGAAAAAGGACAGTTTTAAACCTACTGTTAAAAGTAAACAGGGTGTCTGCCTCATGAACTAAAACTGGTGGTTGGTTCCACAGGAGAGGAGCCTGATAACTAAAAGATCTGCCTCTCATTCTGCTTTTAGAAATTCTAGGAACCACTAGTAAACCTGCAGACTGAGAGCAAAGTGCTCTGTTAGGGACATAAGGAGCAATCAGATCTCTGATATAAGATGGAGTTTGGAAGAAAAGAGATAAAATGAAGCAAAAAGATGAAAAGGGGTTCCTATGTCCTCCAGTAGGCTAAGCCAATAGCAGCATAACTATAGAGAGCTTAGGAGAACCTGAGCCACTTTAACTTTAAGCTTTATCAAAAATGATTGCTTTGAGCCTTGCCTTAAAAGTAGACAGGGTGTCTGTCTCACAGTCTAAAACTGGTAGTTGGTTCCAGAGAAGAGGTGCCTGTTAACTAAAAGGTCCAGACCCTTAGTAATGGTGAGTTGTTGAGGTCTTTGTTGGCCAGCAAAACCTGATAGTGGCCCTCTGAAAAGGGGAGTTGTTAGGGTTGTTGTTGGCCTGGCTGAACAGACGAGGTGTTTTGATCCCCTCCATGGCCATGAGGATTGAGATGATAGTGAGAAGGAATTGACACTATTACTGCATTTTAGGTTTTTGAGTGCTGGAACCAAAGTCCACCCGCTCTGTTTAAGGTTGGTTTTTCTCTCTTAACATCAATGGCTTCCTTATATGCCTCCAATGTAAAGATCAGAGCATTCTTCACTGTACTTAACTTCATACACCACTGCGCTCATCTTATAAGGGTCTTGGGTATTTTTCTTTAGGATGCACTAGCCTCTGTCCAAAGGGGTCTTGTTTGGTCTGAAACAAGACCCTCAGACAGAGGTGATCGGAGTGGTGCAGTTCAGATATTTATTGATCACAATAATTGTATTTAAATAGTTCTTAAAGATCATTGTTTTTTTCCAATGTAACTGACAGATAACAGGTCACTAGACTGGATGGATGAAGGCTGTTTTTTCAGTTTTAATGCATTTAGCTGTTTTTTTCATAAACTTTTATTATGAAGAAAATTTTTGTCACTCTCTAAGCAAACCGCTGGGTGTCGAATCAAGAGTCAGCAGAGAGCAGCTATCCAGCTTTGTGCTGGTGATGTCAGCTCTCCTTTGCTGACATCACATTCAGTTCTTAGTCAATAGCTAAATTTAAATCTTTTTAGCCGGGGGAGGGCGCCAAACAGACAGTCTTAGACAAAAAAGCGTGATTTGAACAAATGTGCAGTAAATTGTCCTGACATTGCTGGCTCTATAAGACTTCTATTCATACAGTTTATAAGAAAAAAGTTAGATTTAGGGGAGTCGTTCATTAAGCCCTTCATCAGTTAGATTTGTCACTTTGTAAAAATGACTTTGCTTTCTCGGCTGCAGGTGGAAATGCCAAGCTTCGCTACCAGATCACATCAGGAAACACAGGAGGCGTGTTTGACGTGGAGCCAGAGGTGGGAGCCATCTTCATCGCTCAGCCTCTGGACTACGAACTGAACAAAAGGTACAAAGGGCTGACTGCAACTTTCATGCTGGACTCTGCTGTGTCTACTTCTTCTGGTCTGTGGGGCTGAGCTAGATAAAGTTCATCCTACCGGACCTCCTTCTTTCCTAAAGATCAGATATGAGAAGTTGAACAGATCTGTTATATCTGATGTGACAGCAACAGGGCGACTTTCTTGCCTCATTTACCCCCCAAACAACCCTCAGGTTCCAAGTATTGACTCATGCTAAAGGTTTTAAAACAGCTAGGCGCCTTCAGATGACATATGTTGTGAATTGGCACTATATAAATAAACTGAATTGAATTAAAATAAAAAATTAAACATCACCACCAATCCGAATAGTTTCTGACGCTCAGTCCATCCGGGCTGCACAGTAGAGCAGTGAGTAGCACTGCCGCCTCAAAGCAAGATGGTTTGATTCCTGGCCCAGGGTCTTTCTGCATGCAGTTTGAATATTCTCCCTGTGCATGTGTGGGTTCCTCCCACAGCCCAGAAACATGACTGTTAGGTTAACTGGCTTCTCTAAATTCTCCTTAGGTGTTAGTGTGTGAGTGAATGGTTGTTTGTCTTTGTGTTGCCCTTCAATAGACTGGCGACCTGTCCAGGGTGGACCCCACCTCTTGCCCACTGACAGCTTTGCTGGCCCCTTACAATTCCTTTTTAAACATCAATATTTGTATTAAAATGTTTTTTCTGTCATGATATGTCGACATTAAGATCTAAGGAGAAGCGTAATCTCCTGGTCAGACCCTGTAATTCAGTGAATGGATGGAGTCAGAGTAAAAAATATGCAAGAAGGGGTCACTCCGGTGGCTAGAAGTTGGAGGGGATTTTGCTGCCTTTTGAATGGCTTTTGACTAGGAAGGGCCATTCTGAATGGCTGCTATTGTATAGTGACACCATAATTTTGTTCTTTAAGCTTTTCTCAGATCGCTCTGATCATTGAACTCAGTCACTGACATCAAGGCAGAACATCTTCTATCTAAAGGAGCTCCCTCTGCTGCACTGTAAAACAAACAGAAACGTCTCTGCAGTCACCCAGACGAGAACAGGAGCAGTAGTCATTATTGCACACATGATGTTTAACAACTTGATGATCATCAGTGTTTAGCAGAGGAATCAATACTGAAAGTAAACAGCCTGATTTTAACGAGCTGCTTGTTTAAAATGAAGCAGCTGTTTTCTGTTCACTGCTGAGAAGGAAGCAGAGACGTTCCTAAGGTGTCCCTTTATGTCCCTGAGTGTTAAAATCAACTCCTCAGGTCTTCTAAGTGACCCAACACTAGCTTCACAATTCTGAGGTTTTGATGCTGAAATCTCTTTTCTGTTGGAAACGTTTTTCTCAGATACAAGCTTCATGTCTTGGCTTCAGACGGGAAGTGGGAAGATTACACAACGGTGACGGTGAACGTAGTGAACAAGAATGACGAGGCCCCCGTGTTCACGGTGAACGAATACTACGGCAGCGTGACGGAGGAGCTGGATGGTTCACCAGTCTTTGTCCTGCAGGTATGATGATGCAGGCAGCAAACTGACCAAGCAAGCCTCGTTGACTCTAGAAGGTTGTTTCAGTCTTCAGGACGGGTTGGTGTTTGTTCTTAGTTTATTCTCTTCTTCCTTAGTTTAGTGAGGAACAGAAGATTCCTGTCCTCCTCTCTCTAACCAGTGTTCCTCCCTTCTTCATCCCTAACAGAATGACCTTTGACCTGATCTTTGGTGGAACCAGCCTTTGTCCTAAACTGCTCTGGGGTTTATCTTCCACTGGGATGTCATGTTTAGGAAATAAATGCTTCAGTTCCTCTGAATTCAGAATGACTACTGGTTCACCATCATCCATTATTTCACTGGGGGGGATGACAAACTGGTGCCCCGCACAGAGGCTGGCAGGCTGTGGGAAGAGGCGCTGATAGCTGTTGTGGCCTTTTTGCGGCACACACACTGCACCCCCTCCCAATAAAGAAAATTAACATTTCACTCTACTAAATTAAATAACACAAAACTGAAAAAGTAAAAATAAATAAAAATGTACAAAATGATGATTTAATAGAATAAAATATCGATTTTGAGTTTTGTTAATAAAATAATTCTAAAAAACAGTCTGTTCCAGACAGATGAAAGCTCTTTGACCCCCCCCCCCCTTTTTTTTCTGACTAAACTTTTCCTGAATGTTACAGAAAACACCTGATTTCACTGATTGTTGCCTCAAAGGGTTCCTCGACAGCATTGTAGTTCAGAAGCTCCATCAGGCTGGTTTACTTCTTTTATTTATTAATATATGGATATGGATGTATTTTTCTGTGTCTGAACATCTACCCTAACCCAAGCATAGAGCACTATAGAGGGCTTACACCATTTTACATGAGTGTCCAAGTATCTAGTGGATGAATAAGTAGAGGACTCAAAATTTCCCACAATGCACCTTGAAAAGTAGTGATAATCTGTCCGAAAGGTCAGTGAACTGAGTCTACTATATAGTCCCCGCTCTATCTATGATTTCACGATTTCCATTTTTAAAAATGTTTTATTATTATTACTTTTGTAATTTTCAATTTCTTTTAGTGGAAGATGATTTTCTCTGTCTTCAATTTTTCTCTGTCTTTAATTTTTTTTCTCTGTCCTTTGTTTTCTTCAGACAAGAAAACAAATGAGGTTGATTGTGGTTGTTTTACAGGAGTCATTCTGTAAGCTAGACAGGGAATCAAAAAACAAATCAACTGTAGAAGTTGGAGTTTCAATTTTTCAGATGCCGCATCCAATCAGTGACTGAGGTCCAGAAAGGAAAACTAAAAATTCCAATTTTGTCTTTCTTTTATATGATTTTATCTTTAAATCCTCCTTAAAACAAATAGAGACAGACAGAAGGAGATGGGTTGGTCTGATATTAGCAAGAACAGACACTGAATACCAAGAGATCAACACTGGAATACTATCTGTATTTTAGGAAGAGCTATCATTTTTGGAAAGCTGTTTTAAAAGGATTGTTTGGCTTATTGGAGAAGAACACTGGGAAACAAGCTAGACGGAAGCAGAACTGGACCCAGAACATTCCAGTGAATCCAGTAGAGGCTGGAACCAACCAGAGTCCAGATCTGACTCTAAAAACAGACTTTACATCCATTGGATCCCTCTAAAAGCAGAGTAAAAAAACAAGCAGAAAAAACTGAGTAGAAAAAAACAAATATTTGAAGGTTTTCAGTGAGGAGATGTCTTCAGGTCAGGAGTGTTTCAGTAACCATTTGAGGGTCTCTGTTGACATTTTAGGTGACGGCGTCCGACCCAGATAAGGATGCTGACCAGGAGGCCCTGCGGTACTCCCTCCATGGCCAAGGTGCTGAGAGCGAATTCATAATCGATGAGGTCACAGGAAAGATCTACGCCCAGAGGACACTGGACCGCGAGGAGCGTGCTGTTTGGCGCTTTGTCGTCCTGGCAACAGATGAGGGGGGTGAGGGTCTGACGGGATTCACCGACGTCATCATCAATGTGTGGGACATCAATGACAACGCCCCAGTGTTCCCCTGCGCTCTCAGTTGCCTTGGAGATGTGGCAGAGAACTCAGCACCCGGGACGTCCGTCATGGAGATGACCGCGACCGACTTGGATGACTCGGCCGTGGGGCAAAACGCTGTGCTGTCCTATAGGATTGTGGGTATTTTAGACTCCACAGACAGTAGACTGGGTGGAGTGCCCACCTCCTCAGACATGTTCACCATCAACCCCACCTCAGGAACTATTTCTGTAGGCGTAGGAGGTCTAGACCGGGAGCAGGTGGAGTCCTACCTGCTGGTTGTGGAGGCCAGAGATGGAGGAGGGATGACTGGAACTGGAACCGCAACCATTCAGATAACAGACGTAAATGACCATGCTCCAAGGTTCCTAGATCATTCCTGTCAAGCAAGAATCTCTGAGAAATCAGAGCCCAACTCAGAGGTGGGTAAACAACGCCTTTAAGGCCTCAGATTAGCCTGACAGTTTAAAGCAATCAGAAACTTTTATACATCAGAGCCTTCAGCCTTTCCCTGGATTTACAGTCTGAATCATCTACTTCTGCACCTGTTTGGAGCTTTTATGACTCAGATGTTTCGGCATCATGGCTCATAGCCAAATTAATTTCCTAAACATGCCAGCTGCTGGGCGTTGATAACTTAAGTGGAACTAATTTGTTTTTGGATCTGAGCAAATGTCCGTTTTTTTTCTGTGGCAGACCAGAGTCCCCGGTCAGGTGTCCAACAGGATTAATAACTGATCAGAGGATCAGGAGCAGGAACTAAGGACAGACCTTATGGTTTAGACCAGCGGTCCCCAACCTTTTTTGCACCACGGACCGGTTGTATGTCAGACAATATTTTCACGCACCGGCCTTTAAAGTGTGAGGGTTAAATACAATCAAATAAAATAATACGACTGGCATAAAATCAAATACAACAACATAAAAATAAAGCTCACCATTATGTTGAATTAGTGGGAGCCCTGAGCTTGTTTCTCCGAAACAAGCTCAGGGTGTAATTGGAGACAATGACACACAAAGTGTGCTCCTGATGTCCAGTCTGCTCCATAGTTTTGTTTTGGTCGCTGTAACCGCAGAAAATCCCGCTTCACAAGGTTGTTATTTATAGGATGCATCTTGACCTGAATTAACCTGTTTTAAGAGGAACAGATGCACTGACTGATGTAATTTGGAGAGAATACCCTAATATTTTATATTTTTCAAAATAAAACATCACTCGGACTCTGATCGTCGATAAAGAGAGGGCTGCTGCAGACGGGCTAACATTAGCCTTGGCTGCCATTAGCCTCGGAGGTCCGCTGGTTGCTGCAGTACTCTCAACAACGGAAAAACGTTTTTAAATTACCCATTAAATCATTAAATGGACCATATAGTGATGCTTAAAGGTATAATGTTCTCGCCTTAATTGATCTTAAAACTTACTTTTATTGAACAACAGCAACAGAAATGAGAACTTTTAACTTAATAGGCAAGGCAAGGCAAATGTATTTGTATAGCACAATTCAGTACAAAGACAATGCAAAGGGCTTTACATGGTTAAAATATAGGACAATAAAACAGAATCAAAGCAAGTAGGAAAAAAATAAAAAAATAAAATAAAAAATGCAGAAACAAAAATGAATATTAAAAACAATAAGACTAAAGAAAATAAAAAGGTTCAACTAAAGATGTTTCAGTTGAACTATTTAACTAGAGCAGTCGAAGGCAATCCTAAACAAATGTGTTTTTTGTCTTGATTTAAAGGAACTCAGGCTTTCCGCACTTTTACAGTTTTCTGGAAGTTTGTTCCAGATAAGTGTAGCATAGGAACTAAGTGCGGCTTCTCCATGTTTAGTTCTGGTTCTAGGTATGCAGAGCAGGCTGGAGCCAGAAGGCCTTAGCGGTCTGGAGGGTTGATACACTGATAGCAAGTCTGTGATGTATTTAGGTGCTAAGCCATTCAGAGATTTATAGACTAACAGAAGAATTTTAAAGTCTATTCTCTGAGATACAGGGAGCCAGTGTAAGGACTTTAGAACTGGGGTGAATAGCTCTACTTTCTTAGTCTTAGTGAGCACACGAGGCAGCAGCGTTCTGGATCAGCTGCAGTTGTCTGATCCACTTTTTAGGTAGACCTGTGAAAACACTGTTGCAGTAATCAATTCAATGAAAAACAAACGCATGGATTAGTTTTTCCAGATCATGCTGAGACATTAGTCCTTTAATCCTGGAAATGTTCTTCAAGTGATAGAAAGCCGTACTCGGAGCTTTGTGAGCGCTAACCTGGAAGCTGCTGTGGCCGCAGTGCATGCTGGGACAGCTGTCAATCACAAGAACAGACAAGTCTGCTGATGCATGCTGGGTAAAGAGGGAGGGGCAAGAAGAACATCCGGGACTTTGTCCGTTCTCGGTCTGCTGTTTTTGTGAATTGGAACAGTACTAGGCCTGAGGCTGATGAAGTTTCACGAGTACACAAGCACACAAGAACGCACAAGTACATATATTGAGAAAAGGTCCTAAAAGGTTTAGAAAGAGTCAGAAAAGCATGAATTAGGACAAAATAATTGTTCTGCTCTGAGTCAATTATTTTTTTGTGTTGCCAAATGATCCAACAGGAAGCACCTTTCCTTGGTTTAGAGTCTAACCTCAGTTAGCATGATGGTTCTGTTTGTGGTAAGGTTCTGGAACTCGCTGCTGAGGACCGGGACACTGGGGAAAACGCTCAGCTTACATTCAGCGTTGTGGCCGGAGATCAGGAGCAGAAGTTCTACATGCTGAGTCAGAAGCAGGAGCAGAGAGGAACTCTTAGGTTGAAGAAACGGCTGGACTACGAACGGCACAGCGAGCAGAAGTTCAACCTCACTCTGAAGGTGCGTTTTGGTCTCAGCTTGGATTCTAGCATTTTCTGGCTTATTGAGAAGCTCAGCTTATTTTTCTCTGTAATTCCCAGCCATGATACTCCTCGGTTGCCATGGCTACCAGCTCCTCACACCTGTTGTTCATTTGCAATCAGTACAGCAGTTCTCCTTTAGATAAAAGCCTTCTCATTACTCCCCCTGCCTCTGAGCCAATTGTTATAGCTTCTGCTGCCGCATATTTAGTTACTGTTGAGGATTGAATCTGAGCTGTTTGGGTCCTTCTGACCATCGCTGGATCACATCCAGCTTCAGTCAGGGGTTTATATGGTGCTGAATTGGTGCAGAAAGGTCTCTGATCATAAACACTGAAGATTTAAGGTCTTGTAAGGATTCTCACCCAGGCCTCCTCCAGCAGAGATAAAACAGCATTTTTTCTTGAAGGACATCAGAGCTTTCTATTAATGTTCTAATGGATTTTAGTCAAACTGACATAAAACAGAAGGACCCAGCGGACAGACAGTAGGAAGCGTTAAAATGTTTAATGACAAAAATGAAAATAGAGACAGAACAGAACATGGGGTGCTATGAATCTGCGGACCTGCAGCTGTTGCGATGGAAAGCGGAGCATCGCCCATCACTGGCACTCTAGTTGTGGGAGAAACAGAGAGACAGAAGATGATTATCCGTTCATCCTCTCGGGTGAGGCAGGATCAGCCCATGCGCTGTGGAGGTGAGCTGTACAGAGTGTCTGCAATGCTGCAAGTGAGCATCAAAATTGAGCTGGGAAGGAGACGGATCCAGGTCAAGGAAACAGTTCAGAACAGGACCATTTTGAGATCCAGGAATCTGTAGACCGGGCAGGGGTTCTGATCCGAACAGGAACAGAGAGATCCAGGGTTCCAGGAATCCACAGAAGGATAAGGCAGGTTTAAATGTCCATGAGTCCAGCAGCAAGCTCAGTAAGACACGCTCAGATGGGGACAGGCTTGCCCAGTGGTTAAGAGGAACAGAGACAAGACACGGTACCAGGAGAACTGCAGGACTTTTAACGGGCTCCATCCAGATTTTGATTTATGAGATTTGGAAACCCGTAGATGAAACTAGTTCTAAACCATAACATCAACACTGCAGCACAGAAAGACTTTGGATTCAAACCCAATGCCGATATTATTTTTTATCGCAATTGTTTCAAGAACAATTTATTGTCCTGCATATTTTCTTATCGTCACAGTCCAGACATAGTCACCCAAGATGTTACATAGCTTTAGAAAAACACATAACATATGGAAATTATTTTATTCAAACTAGATCCAGTCCATAAAGAAACAAAGTGGGGGTCTGGACCAGCTTCTGAGCATAGTCTCACTATCTACTATTGCCTGGAGATCCTCCTCAACTCTGTGTCACATTTAAAACTGGATGGTAGGAGAGCTTGTTCCTGGCCAGCCATGTTAGAATTATGCCATTTGGATTGCCTGGCTGCCTGTGTGTTTCCTGGATGGGGCAGCCTTTTACAGTAGCTTTTTGTATCTCTCCTGTCTCCTTGCACCCCAGTCAGCCTCCTCTGATGGCCACTCACACTGAGTCTGGTTCTGCTGAAGGTTTCTTCCTGTTAAAAAGGGATTTTTTTTCCTCTCCACTGTCACTACAAACATGCTTGGTGTGAAGGATTGCATTTGAGTCAATGACTCGATGCAATCATCTGGTTTTCCTTAGACAGAAAACTTGAATCAATTTGACTGTATGATCTGGTGAACTGTAAAGTGCCTTGAGATGACATTTGTTTTGTGATGACATGTGAAATGGCACTATATAAATAAACTGAATTGAATTGAATTGGTTTATCAGTGTGTTTCCCTGGTAGACATGTTCAGTGGCTCTGTCCAAATGTCCACCCCGGTGCTGTTGACATGTGACTCCTCCCATGCAGGGAGGAGTCACATGGCAAACGGGGAATGAAAAGTAGTGATCCTCTGTCTAAATGGTCAGTTAAATGAGTTCCACTATAAAGTCAATATATAACCCGCCAAACATGGTGGCATTTAGATGTTTGTGTGGACGTTCTGACAAAGCCAGTGTGTTTCCCTGGTAGAACTTTTAGAACTACACCAATTGGTCTATCAGTGTGTTTTTCTGTCTACTGCTAAATGCTGCACTGTCTCCGCTTACCAGGTGGAGGACTTGGACTTCTCCAGCTTTCTACACTGCGTGGTCGAGGTGGAGGATTACAATGATCATGCTCCAGTCTTCATTCCTCACTTTCTGGCTCTGGCACCGCTGCCTGAGGATGTAAGCGTGGGAACCAGCGTGGCCCATTTGGTGGCCAGTGACTCTGACTCTGGCCAGAACCGTGATATAGCCTACAGCCTGTCTGAGGACTCAGACCCAGAGGGCCTGTTTACTATTGACCAGTCCGGTCTGCTCTCTGTGGCCCGGCCCCTTGATCGAGAGAAGACGGCCCAACATCTCTTGGTCATCATAGCAACAGATCATGGCATCCCGGCTCTTACAGGAAGCGCTACCGTTCAGCTGCCTCTGTTGGATGTCAATGACAATGGCCCAGAGTTTGAGGCAGCCTACTCTCCTGTGGTCTTTGAGAATGTAGCCGGTCCGCAGGTAGGCTAGACTCCGACCTCAGGACTTAAGGGTTGTTGGCTGTAACTAAGCTTTCACCCTGTGCTTCCTCTTTAGGTGGTGAGGTTGAACCAAACCTCCACCGTCCTTCGAGCTGTGGACAGGGACTCTCCTGAGAACGGACCTCCCTTTCGCTTCAGCGTCCCTCCAGAGTACCGCTATAGTAATGACTTTTACCTCCAGGATAACTTGAACGGTTCTGCAACGCTAACAGCTCTCAGGACGTTTGACCGCGAACGGCAGAAAGAGTTCCTGCTTCCTGTGGTCATGAGTGACAGCGGGCATCCAGCCAAGACAGTGACCAGCACTCTGACTGTGACCATTGGGGACCAAAACGATCACGCTCACTTGGCCGGAGAGAAGCAGATATCGATCAACAGCCACAGAGGTGAGAAAAGCTCTGAGGATCATTTAAAACAGAAGCTTTCTCAATTTAATGCAGTGAGGAATGCTTTGATCTTTATATTGTAGAAACCAAACAAACTCTCCACAGATGCACAGCTCAACACAGGAGTGCTCCCTCCTCCTGAAAAGACTCTGCTATCCACCTACTCCCTAAAGACACTCTTTTGAGGACGAAAATGTACACATTTTGGACAAATGACACAAGTGGTTTTAATGGGGTGTGAAGGAATCCAGTTATTGCCACCCAGGAGGTCAAAACATCGCTTCTGTAAGCTAGGCCAATACCTACCCTAAGGACTCCCGATTACAGAGGCATTGGCCAGTTTCGGTTTAATTTGCTGGCCAACAACGACCTTAATGAATGCATGTTTTCTAAGCAATAACAAGGCTCTTGTTGGGCAACTCTAAAAAGCCCTGAGCTCCATGATACTCCAGATATTTTGAATTAAGAAAGCTTTCTGGATGGGAAGCGAAACGTCTATAAACTTGGAAACAAAGTCCTGGGGATTTTTTTACGTTTTTGGAATGACTATGACCTGGATGACTGAGAATCTTCACTAGCATAATAACCGGTATAAAGCAGATACCGATATGTCTACATGGAAATGAGGGCTAGGCAGCATGTTGGGTTTGGTTCTGTCTTTGATCAGGAGCAATCCAGCTGATCTATGCATTTTTCTTCAGGCCGTATGCCAACCACCGTCCTTGGAAAGATCTACGCTCCCGACCCTGATGACTGGGATAATAAGACCTTTGTGTTTGAGGGACACCTGCCAAGGTAATACCCAATCAGTGCTTTCTGTCTGGTTTTCTTCCTATTCAGGGTTTCTTTTTGTCATCATATTCAATCTGACAGAAATAAAGATGTCTTCGTGTTTATGTGGATAGATCAGAATTTAATCCTTTTTTAGCTGGAATATCATCATAAAACACCTACCTTTTTATTTGAATGGTCTGCAGATAAATGAAGCTTTAAGTGAAATAACTTTGCTTTAATGTGCATAATTTCATCGTCCAATCCAGGTCAGAGCAAAGTAAATTAGGTTCATTAAATAATCTGCTGGATGCTAAAGAATGAGCATAGATGCTAACTCTGGCCATGTTCACACAGCAGGCTAATGCTAGTCATATTTTGCCCATATGTGACTCATATCAGCAGCCTGAACAGCTGTGACCTTCTAACCTCATTAAATAATCAACTTTCAGCTCCTTTTTAATGTGGTACTAATTCAGATACGGATCTGATCGTTTTCCCTTCTCTGTTAATGATGATGTGAGCTCCCATCACACATGGATTCAGAGACACCAGCATCCACTGGTTCATTTCAACAGTGGTGTCAAAAGTACACACATAGACAATTCACTTTTGCAGTTTGAAGAAAACCTGCTTACTTCTGATGATTTCCTTAACCAATGAGTGTTTGAGTTATATAACTCATCAAATACACTAGATTTCCATATGTGTGGATGGTCAAAGATCTGCGTTTGATGGGACACATGACATGAAATAAATATATATAAACATTAAACCACGGGTAACCAATTAATCAGTGGGGTACGAATAAAGAAAATCATCAACCAGTAAAGGTCCAGAGACATTTTTAATGATCTGTTACTTTAAACACTATTTAACACTGAAATAAAATGAGGTATTTATGCATTCATGGTATACATTGAATTCTGAAAAAAAAAAAAGGAATTGCCAAAAATTGCATCCCGTGCTATCTCAGAGGAGCTGACACTTGTATGACCTGTATTCCTGTATATCCGTCAGTAGTTAAAGGACAAGGGTCAGCAAATGCAAATTCTGCCAGTAAAACAATGACAGCGCAATTGTCGCTGTATGATCTGAAGCCTCATTTGGAGCTTTTAAACAGGCCTTTGAAAAACTTTGATAATTTGCTGCTGTAATATTATAGATTTTTGAGAATAAAAAGTTAGTAGATGTGCATAATCAAAAAATAACAGAAACACAGTCATAGATTATTCCGTATTGTAAGAAAGCCCACACTGTTTCTGAATAAATACATTATTGTATGAGTTAAGTTCTGTTCCGTTTATACCTCTTTCCTTGTAAGTGTGAAATGTCCCATGCTCTTGAATGCACCATAGCTATCTGACGCTTGCGAATGCATCACACTGGTCTGTGAACGCTGTGCTGTGTAGATGCGCGTTTGATTTTCCACTTAAGACAAAGCTTTGCCGTTTCTAAACTGACGTTGGCTATCACTATTTATTGTTGTGTGTGAATAATGAGAAACTACAACAAATAAGTCATCCGTAACTTGGACAAAATCTTTGGATTTAATGTTCAAGTTCATAACACCCATACTGGGGATGCATCTCGGCAGGCGTGCACTTTTCGGCAGAACACCGGACCACGTTCGCTAATCCATGATCTCTGCATTAAACCAAAGCCAAGGGTAACGAGTAACGGTTGTTCTAAAAATGTAAGGAATAGAATGTACAGATGCTTGTGTGAAAATGTAATGAGTAGAAGTCAGAAAAGGGAGAAAAATAAGTAATGGAGTAAAGTATAGATACCTAAAAAGTGTACTTAAAAGTTTACTTAAGTACAGTACAGTATTTGTACTTCGTTACTTGAAACCTCTGCATTTCAACAAACTTCAGTGAACATCTTTAATTTTGGTCATATTCATAATTAGGCCTGCTTTCTGACATCTACCTTCTTGTGTTTGGAACTGATCAGACTGAAGTGGCATTTTTCTAGTGAGATAACAGAGGAATTGAGCATCATGCTCTACTTAGTGCATGCAGCATTTATCTAATCCCAGACGTTGTCTTGCCATCTCTTCCTGAACAGCTTCTGGACAGCTACCCCTCTACGAACTACTGGAGGGTTCTTCTTCGTTTTTAGTAGAAAATCATTAAGATATTTTTGTGTTATATATTTACTGAATCTTAAAACATTTTAAAGGAAAGGTCCAATCCCATTCAGCATACAAAGTTCTGAAATTACTTTAAGTATGAAATTATTACATACTGTTCGGCCTCAGCAGATGGCCGCTCACAGTGAGCCTGGTTCTGCTGGAGGTTTCTTCCTGTTTAAAAAGAGTTTTTCCTCTCCACTGTCGCTTCAAACATTCTTAGTGTGAGGGATTGCCTTCGAGTCACTGAGTCACTCATGCATTCAACTGGTTTTCTTTTGGAAAGAAAACTTTCAATCAATTTGACTGAATGATCTGGTGAACTGTAAAGTGCCTTTAGATGACGTGTTGCAAAATGGCTCTATAGAGATAAACTGAGTTGAATTGTACAATAAATGATAAGCGTTTTTAATTAAGAGTAATTTTATTGGAATCGCTTTACTGGAAGCATCCATGTTTGTGAAAGAACACTACTGCCACCTACAGGTTTGTGTGCGGTATCGGCTGGTAATCAACGCGCTATTATCCAAGTCATCTTGTTCATCTTATTCTTCCAAATGTTGGCTACATATTACTCATCTATTTGTTCTCTGGCCAGAAGTTCGTTGACAAATCCTCCCTCTTCAAGTTGGCAATCCAACGTCGAACCCGTCCGTGGAGGATCAGGAATAACTAATTGTTTTTTCACTTTTACCCGATGTATTCCAACATCCAACATGCCATGCACATGGGCATTGTCAGTTTCCCTATAGCTCTGGTTAATTTCAATGGTGAAGTCCTCTGGAAATCTTCAATAATTGTTGTTGATTGCAGATGTGTCTAGTAGTTCCCATGGATTTTGCTTGCAAAGCGGGGAGAATGGCGCTAGGCTTACCGCACCGTGATGTCACTCCCGGAAGATGGCAGGAGTGAGGTGTTACAATATTTGGGCAAATATGGCCGCTCCTAGACTCAGTGATCGCAACGAAAATTTTTGTTTTTATTTTTTTAAAGATTAACGCTAAATTCGTATAAATTTTATGTATAATTAATGACCCATTGGTTATCCTCTCTGACCGGACTTTGCCTTTAACAAACTCTTGAAGAATAGAAATAAAAGACATCAAGCCTGATGAAGTGTGCAGAAGGAGTGCCGGTCATTAACCACTGGGAGGGTTAAAGTGGACACCCACATTTGGGGAAGCCGCCACAGACTGCAGACAGGATCGACATTAGCCCCGCCCACCTGACTCTAGCTCCCTCTTTCATGACTTCATTAGAGATCCTTTCAGACCAAGCCAGGAGAAAAGGCTGCATCTCCTCAGAGTTCTATCGCAGTCACTTATTCAACGTATTTCCTCATTTTCCAGAGAATAACTCATGTTGGAAGCAGTTGTGACATTTTGATCAGAGTGAAGCAGCCAATAGAGCCGAACTCATCCTGCCCTCTGAGTCTGAGGAACGAAGATAAAAATAAAATATTTTTATGATGAATCTGCTGCACAGATGCCATTACATCTTTAAATTAATAAACATTTATTTATTCAACTATGTAATTTGCTGATTTAATGGCACATTTAAGTAGTTAATGGTGTATTAAATAAATAGATGTAAATTATTTAACAGGACATTTAATGGTTCATGTTAAATTGATTTATTTCATGATGCATTTATCTACTTATTATCCTTTAATCTTGCAACGTCAACATGCTAAATTTTTTTAGATATCTTTGTCAGATTCAGAACAGAAGGAGCCAGTATTCAAAGCGAGACTGACAGTGGGATAATTAAAAGCTTTTATGTAAGACAAAGAGGGTTGTGGATCTGCTATATCAGGGGCTAGGGTGTCTATAACTGGAAACTCTGTTGAGGAGAAACACAGGTTAGTAACCATGATAATCTGACGAAGGATGATTATCCATGTGAGTCAGTAACCTGGTTTAACAGTTCAATCTAACTCCATAGAACAAGGTAGGATCCGGCCAGTAGGCTCCCAACAAGATGTGGCAGATGCCGCTCAGAGTGTCCCAGATGCTGCAGCCCCGGAGAACATACAGGAGTCCGAAGCCAGGTCAGGCAAACAAATCAGAACAGGAACAGGCTGGTTCAGGGTTCCAGGGGCCCACAGACAGTTCAGGCAGGCCGTTCAGGCAGGAACAGGCAGGCTCAGTGGTTGAGAGGCAGAGGAGGTCAGGATCAGGAAATCAGAAACACCAAAGAACTCTAAACACACTCTCACCACTGGCTAGAGAGAACTAGATAATCTGGACCTTATAGCAAGACTCCTATCCCCCGATAGCTCATCGGGCACCCCATGATGGCAGGCCACTGCACACCAACCATGATGGGTTAAAGGCAGAGCGAAACTGAACTGTTGGCCTAGTGGGTTAGAGCAGTGTGCTTGTGCTCTGAGAAGGTTGCAAGTACGCAGTTCAAATCCCACTGACTCCACTCTGGGTTGAGCAAGACACTTAACCCCTGATGGCTCCGAAGGCACTGCACAATGGCAGCCCACTCCTCCCCAACGGGATGGGTTAAATGCAGACTTAATTTTTTTCCAAAGTGAGATCAATAAAGTTATTATATTTCCATCAGAGATGCAGCATGCTAAAGAGACACTAGTCATTCGATCTTTTTAGTCTCTAACCCCTTTAAACGTCTCTAATTATGAATAAAATCCTAACAGAACTTCCAGCAATGAATCACCATCTGCTAACTAATCCATATAAAACAGCATCAATCATCAGAGTTCTGGGCTTACTGAGAACAATGCTGATAAGAACATTATCAAATCTCTTGTTTACATTTTTAATCCTACATTTGAATCTAACAAACTAAACTAGTCAAACACATACATCTGTTAACTTTGGCTGTTTGAACAGGACTTTATGGAGCTTTCCACATTAGTCAC